GCACAACCTCCCTAACAGAAGCCCTAAACCTTAAAACACCCCAAACCTCTTGACTTCACTCTAAAGCCAAAAGATACATAGTAGAGAAAACCCCAAATTACATAACTTGTCATATTCGTGTTGGACTCAAAAACCGAATATGGATCGGATCCATACCACCTTAAGCTTCCACCACAAATCACTATAAAATTTTGCCTAAGGATTGTTCTCAACTAGATTCGGAGTGAATCATGATGCGGGTCACAATAAAGGTTCTATTCAATTCAAGTACAGCATGGTTCTAATAAAGGTTCTATTCCTATCACAGCCTGTCCAAGTAAGCCATTTGCGTCTACAGTTAATCAAAGTAGTACAAGTCATTCATCTGTGGCTAACTTTACGAAGGATATAAAATGCTTTTGGTGCAAAGGATTTGGTCACTTCTCATTGCCTAAACAAAGTAGTAGCCCTTACTAATTCTCTAGAGAATAATGCTATTGAAAATGAAGTTATAGGACCTGAATTTGATTCAATAGAGGAAATTATTTATGAAGATAATGAAGATTCATGTATGGTATTTTGAACTTTATATACTACAGGCTAGGGATGTCAATGGGTCAGGTTAAATGGTAAATCTGCCTTAGGGTCAGGTTAGGGTCAAGTTTATTTGGTTTAGGGTTGGGTTAGGGTTTTGATTCTTTGACCCGAGTTAGGTTTGGGTCAGGTTTGAGTTTTGGTTGATCCGTCCCGCCGGGTCATGATACCTTGCATAAGCTTAAAGTTTATAATTTATTTATATGCTGATTTTGATTTTCTTTTTTTTTAATGAAAAGAATAATACCTTAGAATCTATAAAACAATTTTCTTATTTAAATTAATATATTTTAGGTCTTTAAAATGTGTTAAAAAATACATTTAAAACTATACGAGTTAAGTCGGGTCGAAATTGGGTTAAACCGGAGTCTATTGGTTCGGAAATCATATATTTTTAAGCCAGGTCAAGTCAAGTTTAAGTTGGAGTGCTGGAAGGTCAGGTTAGGATTGAGGCAAACCCATGCGGAATCCAAGCCGTTGACACCACTACTACAGGCTAGTCAGTTCTTGGGAATGAATACTGTTTTTAGTAGTATTTTTCAGAAATGTATACAATGCCAAAGGACAAGTTTTTGTATCATGATGATTAATAGTAGCATCTGTGAGGAAATTGGGTCAAGTGGAACCACACACTGACCAATACATACATGGTGGCATGGGTTAATAGTAGCAGCTGTAGTCACTAGTGATGCTTAAGCTATGTTTGGTTAGAGTGCAATTTTATTTGTGCTAGTACAAATGCATGAAAGTGTAAATGAAAATAATGTAAAATCTGGTTTAATTTTATTTTGGATGTTATTATAGTTTACTTCAAATCTTGCTTTACTTCATTGGTACTATAATAAAACAAAATAAGATAAAAATTGAAATAAAAATAAATCATAATTTGCACTAAAATCATTTGCACTGCCATGATTTTACATCAGGGCAAATAAATTCACACTACAACCAAAGACAGCTTTAGTGACTTATTCCATTGGCAATTTCAAATATATAGTGCATTGCAATGTTTTGCTTATCAGATTACAACAGTCCTGATCAAGTGTGCCTATAATGGATCATGTTTGCAAATTAACCATATCCTTATCACAGATGGTTATTTTCTTTGAATTAATATCATGTTACAACAATATCGAAAAATCTCTTATCTGTGTTACAGTTTACAAGAGATAAATGGCCCTAATTATAATTTTGAAATTAAGGATAGCGCGTTAGAAATGGAGGTTTAGCTTGAACCCATGAAGGTGTATACCAACTTCAGTTAGGTGTCTCTAATTAGAATAATGTGAATGGTGTGTGGTGTCCAAACTTTGATTGGAGAACGAGTGGCATCTAAGTACTAGATGGCATCAACAATTGTCAATTGGGTCACCCTTCATTATGAATAGTTAAGAAGATTGCTATGGTTTGATTTGTGAAGAATATAAAAAGTTGGTAACTTCTCTTTTTATCTATTTTTAAATCTCATGGCACCTAGGTTTTTTTTTTTCTTTTTTTTGATTGATATGGGGAAAGTTGGTCAATAAAATTTTGGTTCCCATTGATCAAGATATACATATTCTTTTTTCAAATTTATGTGGAATCTACAGATAATTCATTTTCCTTAAGTGATACCTATCTCTCATGTGAATAAATAACTTTCCCACTAAGAGGGGAAATTGCCAAAACTTGGATGGGACCAAATTTCTGCTTTTAATAATGACTTTTTATTGCTAAAATAGTCATTATCTTATTTATCTGAGAAATAAAAAAAAATATGGCAAATGCACTTAGCTAAATAAATATTTCCAAACACTTGCCAAATAATTGCATTTACCAGGGTAAGTAACTTCTCGAAAAATGAACAGATCTTACTTTCCACTTGATTTAGTTTTATTTAATTTTTAGGATTCTACCCCCTCATTCCGTATTCTGCCCCCTTTGACTATGAAAGCACATCCTCTTCAAGAGGTTTATTATGGCACTAAAGCAGGCTCAAGTATCTTATACTTCAGTCCATCCTATGGTAATTTGCAGTTGAGAAAGTGTTCATTGTGCTTGTGCTCTTACCCTCCTGCCTCTCATCCCCTACCACAAGCTCTACACTATCAAAATTTCACGCCTTGGTTAACAATGGGGCATAGTCTCTTGGCTCCAACTATGTGGTGCCAACATTGTTACGTCAAAGTGGTGTATTATGAAGGTTCGCTTGCTTCACACGAAATCCCATTGGGCTTGAAGCGTGAACAAGCACAAGCCCATCCATACCTTGTAATGAAACTTATTTAAATGTAATGGGGATAATCAGAATCGAACACTAAACCACTTGGTCAAAGTGGCTCTGATACCATCTCAAAGAACCATTCAACCTAAAAGCTTAAGTTGTTAAATGAGGTTCTTAAATTGATTGATATTCTCTAACAAGAATTGGAATAACCCATTCCGGTTCTGATTCCAGATCCCTATTCCTGCAAACCAAATAGGGCCTAAATGGGAGTCTCAATAATGCTTTGTTAAATGGGAGTCTCAATGAAAAAGTACATAAGATTCATCTACAAGAAATCATTGATCCTCATTTTCTCATCATGTTTACTTTCATAAGTCTTTATATAGCTTGAAACAAGCACTTTATGTTCATTTTTTTTTATTCCATTCTAATTTCTTAAACTTTGGTTTTAATGACTCCAAGATAGTGAATTTATATATAGATGGGATTCAATGGTGATGTTTATTTTGGTTTGTGCTGTTGATATCTTAAATGCAGGGATTTCTACTACTAACCTAAATTCCTTCATTGCTTGCCTCTCCCAGTGTGCTATCTCAAGAACACAAGTGATGGGCTCCCATTCCATGTGATTGTGTTTTTTGATTTTGATTGGGTTAACTATCTAGATGACTGTTGGTCCACTAGTAGCTTTGGTTCTTGGTCTTAACTTTGTTCTATTAAATGGTTATAGATAGGGGTGTCAATTGGACTGGATTTGGTCCAATCTGATCTGATCCAATGTGAGTCCATTATAAATGGACCAAGTCCAATCCAATGAATGTTTTGGACTAATTTGGACTGGTCCAATTCAATGTCTAGACTATCCAATCTGTTCAAATTCATTTTGATTTAGATTGGTTTCAACCCAAACCCAGTCCATTAACACATATATTCTTATCTTATATCAATGGGTCAAATATTGGCTTAATCCAACACAATCCAATATAAATTTGTTACGAACAGACATGGTCCAATCCAATCTAATAAATATTTTGGACCGGATTGGCCCAATCCAATATGTTTTATTGGTCCATCCAATCCATCCAAATTGATTTTGGACTGGATGGGGTCCAATCCAAAACCGATCCATTGACACCCTTAGTTATCCGTGGTTGCACGCTTAATTATTGAAGCTGGATTTTGAGCACTTTCTAAATGTTACCACTGAGATTATTTGGTTGCAATCTCTTCTCTTTGAATTATTAAGCTTGAAGTCTTTTCAATCACCACTGGTTCATTTTGACAATATTGGCATGGGGCAATATATCTTGATATTCATCCTATTTTCCATGCCCCTACTAAATATGTCAAAATGAATTTTCACTTCATTTTCCATGTGCTTATGCACAAATTGTTGGATATTCTCTATTTGTCTTCCATGATTAGGTTTTGGGATTTTCACCAAAGGCTTTGTATCTTCTTGATTTGCTCTTATTAGGCCCAAAATGTTTAGTCCTGCTCGTTCTGCTTAAGGGGCCTGTTAGGCTATTTTTGGTTTGAAGGGAAAGGTAGGGAAACCTTTACAAACCTTGTATTGGTTTCCCTATCTTTTCCTTCCTTTAATATAGTCTTAATGAACAAGTAGAATCTTGTGATTCTAATGAAAAACTCAAGCAGATAGAACCCCATGTTTGTAGTGATAAATTTCAGTCTCATCCAATCACTATCACAAAGAAAATGATAGAGAGAGAGAATGTCTGTGTATGATCAATAGTCTACTCTTTGACTTACATCAATTTGCAAGATGCAAGAACTCTACCCATATCTACCCACAACACACTACCCCGTGCATTGGACACATCTCCTCCATGCATAATACTTTGTAGGAGGATGAGATGTTCTCCATGTGTGGCTGAGATGTTATGTGGGTAGACGTAGGCAGAATTCTTATAGGCAGTAGATCCGGACTCATGTGAGGCCCCCAAATCTTATACATGGCTAGTATTCAGGAAAGACCCATCATTAGATGGATCCGCTTAAGAAAAGCATATCAAATGTCTTAGACCATCCGGTAATGCTTCATTTCGAGAGCTTTGAAAGAGTTCTGATGAAACTTTTGACCACTATTTAACTGTTTGGTTCAAAGGAATTCTATATATTACTTTAAGCTACTTTTACCTAATTGATCTTGAATATTATTCAAGCAAATTAATGGAGTTATTGTCATTCCTTTTTTTATCAGCACCCGGAGTCCCAACTGGCATACATAGACCAAGCAAAGCTCCTACTGCAACTGGTAAATAATTCATCTTCTTTAAGTTTTCTTTTCTCTTATATATGATTTTAGATCATAGTTTTTTTTTTTTTTTTGCTTGTACCAATTATTGCTATTCCTTTCTTTTATTTGCAGTGCCTAGGGCCCCAACTATCAGCCCTATAACAAGCGATGGTGCCAATGCAACCGGTAAATAATTCATTTTCTTTTAGTCTTCTTATTTCTAAAATTTGCTTTTGGATACAACAAAAGTTACAAAACTACATAATTATTCAATATTATGACCCATGGAGTTAGAAGACCCAAAAAAAATGAAAATTAGAACTTACAACTCTCCTTTTAGCTGTGTTTGGTTTGGTTGAAATAAGAGAAACAGAAAATTGTGGGTAAGTTCTCAACAGATTATGTGAAATTCCTTACGAACTTCCCTCAACCTTCTGTTTCTACCTTATTGTCTTCAAACCAAACATAGCCTATGGTTATAACAAGAGAAGGGTTAAATTATGGCACCATTGTTCATTTGTTTGTTTTGGTGTACAAGGTGGAAATGTTTTCAAAATGAAAATATCAGCTATAGTATTAATTATTGAAGGCAAAATCTTCGTTTTCTAACCGTTTCGTGTCAAAGAAAAAGCAGCTTTATAAAATATGAGAGATGTCTCAATTTGATCATAAACTAAGACTGGGTAAAAAGTTTGATTAGAAGGGTTCCAGAAATGGTTTGAAAAGTATTATTTTCTTACAACAAAAAAAAAAAAAAAAAACTGTGTTTTTCTTCATATTTACTGAATCTAAAACCAAGAGCACATTTTCAAATGGATGTAAGCAATGTTCCCATTGGTTCGGAAGATCAAATCTCCTACCCATAATAACTCTACCCACAACAAACTACAGCCAATCAACGACAACACCAGATCTAATAATAGAATTAATCGATGAGAAGAAATATCTTAAATATATGATTTAATGAGAGAGAGAGTGAGAGTTAATACCTTAGATATATACTTAATGAAAGGGATCTGAATGAGGTTAAAAGTAATAGTTCAAATTAATTACATTTTCTGCCCACACAATTAGAAAATGACTAAATTAGATATCATGCTTGTTTTTGTTTAATATAATGAATATACAATATTATAGATGTCCCCAAATGTTTTAACAAAATTTATGCATTTTTTCATTTGTGTGGTTTTTATCTTTTTTTAATAATTTTTATTATTTAATTATGACATCAAATGCTCACACATTTGACCTAAATGTTTAATTGCTGACCTACCACCAAACGAGAAAATAATTTCATTTTTTTTTTGTTGACCTAAAAGTTTAGAGATGTGGCCAAATTTTTCTACATTTCTTTTTAATTTTTTTGTTTGATATGATGAATATATAATATTAAAGATGTGCTTAATTGTTTTCTACAAAATTTCTACATTTTCTGTAATTTTTTTGTTTTTATCTTTTTACCTTTTTATTATGTAATTATGATATCAAGGGTTGACACATTTGACCCCCAAGGTTAAATTGTTAACTAGCCCTTGACCAAATATGAAAAACAATTTTTTTTTCAGATTTATATTTTGTATTTCCTTTCCATCATCAATAAAAATAATCTTGTGTATCACACTTATTTTTATTTAATATGATTAATATAATATATTAGTAAATTTTTGTATTTTTTTCATTTTTTATGTTTTTATCTTTTTTTAAATTTATTATTTAATTATGGCATCAAGGGTTGGCACATTTGACCTAGAAGGTTGAATTGTTGAACTACCACCAAGTAGGAAAACAATTTCATTTTTGGGCTAGTTTTAAATTTTTTATTTCATTTCCAACGCCAATTAAAACAATTATTGTTTACTATATGCATTTTTCTTTAATATGATTAATATAAAATCTTAGATATGTGCTTGGTTTTCTACATTTTTTTTGTATTTTTTGTATTTCTTTTTATTTAAAAAAAATATTTTTTAATATATCATCATGGGTTGATCCATTTGAGATTTGACTTGGATGGTTGAATTACTTACCCACTACAAGGATGGAAGAATGGTGTCATTTTTGGATTAATTTAAAATATGAGCTTGATATTGCTAGAAGTATTGGATATAGATCTAATTAACAAAATTTATTTAAAGCAAAAAATGATAGAATATATTAGTGAGAGAAAAATAACTTAAATATAGAATTTAGTGAGAAAGAATGAGAATTAATACCTTAAATATATTTAAGATTTAATGAGAAGGAATTGAATGAGGTAAAAAGAAGTAATTCAAAATACAAACTCTAACCTCACAATTAGTGAGGGGCCAATTTAAAAGATAAGGGCACTTTTGTCAAGAATAGGATTCAATGAAAGATGACAGTAGTTAATACTTTAAATATAAGACTTAATGAGAGGGAATTAAATAATGTAAAAAGTAGTAGTTCAAATTACATTTTCCCACTTTACAATTAGAGAGGGACAAAATTCAAAAATAGGAGTATTTTAATCAAATGTAAGTTTCACATTTTCATTTGTACTTTTAATAGTAATATAGTATGAATATAGATATAGATTGGTGAAACACATACTTCATCTAGACAACCTATTAAAATGGAAAAGAAGAAAAGTAAATATAATAATAATAATAATAATAATAATAATAATAATAATAATAATAATAATAATAATAATAATAATAATAATAATAATAATTTTAGAAGTCCAAAGAAAATTTGGTTCTCGAACAAATTTGCAATCTCTTTTTAACCATACAAGTCCTTCAGCACCAATAAAGTTGCATATGATAAAAATATTCATTTTAAAAAGTATAAATTAGTTAATATTATATATAGATAGATAGATAGATAAATAGATAGATAGATAGATAGATAGATAGATAGATAGATAGATAGATAGATATAGATATAGATATAGATATAGATATAGATATATAATGTGAAAGGCCATTAAGTATAATGTTGGTCCTAGCTATTTGAGTGTTGAGAGGGGTGGAGTACTAGATGTGAACCTAAACTTTGGCACTTTTTTTTTTTTTATTCTTGCACAAATTAAGTGGTTATACTCAAAATAAAAAAAAAATGAAACTAGAATATATGAAAATTAAATAGAAAAGTAGAAATTAATATGTATGTAAATCAAGTGAACATATTATTTCATTTAAGTATAGAAGGTTATAAATGTTAAACAAAAACAGTGTTTGGTTCGATTGAAAATAAGAGAGAAACAGAAGATTGAGTGAACGTTTTCAAAGAAATTTGTCAAAATTCTTATGAACTCTCTCAAATTTCTGTTTCTCTCTCATTTTCTATCAAACCAAACGTAATTTATAACTGTTTCTTCATTCTCTTTATGTTGCATAGCATGTTGTTTCATCTTTACCCTATAAATCATGATTTTCAAAAATGCAAACAGAAGTTCTAAATTTTTTGTAATTGCTTTTTATTTATTAATTGCTAACTGCAGTTTAAAGCAGGAAAGTTGTCATTTATTAGACTGGATAGTCTACCATTCAGTCTAGATACCCTTGTTCACTCTGGTTGGATTGGCATAGCTTGAGGGTTCTCTTGCTGATACTTTGAACTCGTGCAGTGCAATTTAGAAAAGAGAAAACTTATTAAATACATATTTACACAGCAAACAATAGTGCCTGTATATGTTAAAAGGGGGCCAGTTAGGCTATCATTGGGTTAGGACAGAGTCAGGCCACCCAAAGCATCAACCCAAACAGGGAAAAATCATGGAATTAATGACCCAGGTGTGTTTCTCAGATTGGGCCAACTTGACTCAAGACTAAACTCTGATAAGGTTTCTTGCTCTGCTGACCAGCCATTAATTTCTTGGGTCTTGGCCAGCTGTTGAAAGAACTCTCAATTAATCCTCTTTTGGTGCATCTTTCAGCGCGGGCTGTCAGCTGTTTAGAAGCCCGGCAGCTGCATTTTTGTCTTTTCTCGTTTGTTTGGGAGAAGATCTAGCTGTTGAAAGACTCCATCCCAAAAAGACATGGGAAGCCTGTTTCAAGCTATTTTTGGGAAGCTCAAAATGGAGCTTTTCCACTTTTTTCGTCTCGTCTTTGTGCAAAAAGATACGCCTCCAACCAAACGGTCTGTGGACTGCCAAGCTATGTAAAAGCCCACTACATCTTTTGGTTGTCAGATCTCTCAGAAGATCTTTCAAAAAAGACTTACCAAATGGCACCTAAAAATCAGCTACATTAAAATCCTGTTCTTCCATCTTGCTATGTTAAGTGCCTTGTCCATTGTTAAATTACAAGTCCTAAAATCATTTTTAACTGCCTCAATCAATCTCCTTTGAAAGCATGGGTGTCCAACCTCACATCAAGAACATCTCTCCATGAATTTAACATATGCATGTATGGAAGATATTCTCAATGCGATCCCTGCTTCTTTTCTAGACCCCTTAACTTGTAACATATCAATAGCACTAGCTAATAGAAAGACTATAATCAACAAAAGATTACTATTTGTTTAAGAAACCCTTCCTTCCATTCTCCATTTTGTATACAAGCTAAGAAGAAATGCTAGTAAACATTCTTACCTGTCAAGAAGATGCATATCACTTCATAGTTTTTTATCTTTCGAACTATTATTTGATCTCTACTTCTGAATGTTAACAGTTGCACCATCGCTGGAGGAAGGATCTTCTCTAACAAAGGACAGCAGCGGCTCTCCTAGCATTCTTGGAGACTTCACTCTTGTTTCCCTTGTTGTCTTATCAAGTGTGGCAACTTTTCTCTTCTTTTGAGATTTGAGGACCCCTTAGATAAAACCATGGAGGCATTAATTCTAGAACTTCTCTATCTCAAGAAGTCTCAGCTTCTTCATTACAATTGCAGTGTTCAGTCCAACCAAAAGTGTGTAGTGCTCAGACTTGCATTTTGAGGATTTGTATGCCAGTCTTCTTGTTTGTGTTGAAATTTGTTTTAGGAAGAAGATGCATGTTTGATTACCTGAATAAATTTTGCTTTCGGCATGATGAAACAATTATCAGTTTCTACTTTCTACCTCTAGCTTTTTTTCTTTTTTATTCTCTTTCAGATGTGAAGTTTTATACATATCTATATATGTAGGGGTCTAGGGGATTAGGGAGCAACCTGAATCTCTCTAGTCCAGGGATTGAATTTTGCAGAAAAAAGCAGCAGAGAAGAGAGATGGTACTGGTAGGGAAAAATGAAAAGAAAAAAAAAAAAGCATCCACACATCCGCATTCATTTACATAAGAGATTCATGTGAGGGAGAAATAAATAGCACATACCATAAATTTGTCTATGTAAATAATCTGCAGAAAACCATATCTATTGAAAGACATCAGACCCACCATGACAGGTTGAATGTTTTGTCTTGGGCAAACCTATTTTTTAACCAAAGCATTTACATGAATCTTATGATAAAAACCCTAAATTCACAGCAAACTGATTTTTTTTTTTTTGGATCTTTTTCAGAATGAAGAAAAACTAACATGAATTTTGCATATTGTTGAAAATCAAGTTACACTGCAATAGAATTATTGAGAAAGGATAATCCACTGAACCAGAAAACTGGAAGAATCATTAGATGGTGATAATGGGGTTGTTTAAATCTGGGATTTCGGTGGGGTCCGTTTTGTCTGTTGAATCCGCCATTGCCAGCTTCCCCAGTCTAAGAAGACTTCCAGTGGCTAGAATGGCTTGAGGGTTGACATCATGCAACGCCCTGGCGTACAAACTCCTAGAGGCAGCAGATGCAGCTTCCTTCAGTTCCTTTGAATCATTGGGACCCATGAGACAGTGACCCAAAACCCTCAGAGCTGGTTGCAGTAGCTCCCATGGCAGAGGAATTCTTCTCCCTCCCTTGTCTTCTCCATGCTTTCTCTGTGGTTTACTCTGTTCAGAAGGATCCTTCTGATCATCCTTGTACATATCTCCATCCTGACCAGCCCAAGCCACACAGAACTCACAGAAATCCATCTTTGAGCCAATGGGCATGTGTGAAATTTTACTGTAATACAACTCCAAGGCCACTCCAACAATTCGAGCTCTCTTGGTAGATCTGACTGTGCCATGGGGTTCCAAACTTGGAGAGAAAATGGCTAAATTTATCCCAGTTGCATTGTTCTTGGTGGTCACCTTGGTTTCGTGATAGATACTTGAGTGGGAGAGATCCGGGACGTTGACTGTTAGCGCTTGGCCACCTCGAGACGTGGTTTCATGGGCGTATATGGCTAGTAGTACAGCCTCGAATCCGGCCAGAGGCACACGCAGAACGACTCTAGAGAGGTAAACTCCGGCGATGATGGGTAGAAATCTAAGTACGACGAGTTGGAGGGTGGGGTCTGAGGATTGGAAAGTGTCGTAGAGCCATCGGCAAAGGTGGTTGTCACCAGCGCCGGAGTTGGGCTGTCGGAGGTGAGATGAGATCTTCCGTGCGAGGTCGGGGTCGTGAAGAAGGGAAGTGGCTGGGTTCTCGGAGGAGGAAAGGGAAGGAGGGATGTTATCAACGATGGAAATGAGGCTTTCAATCGCTGATTGGATTTTTGAATTAGTGGAGCTGCCGGACGAGGATTCAGGTTCATTGCCGGTGGTTTCAGGGATTTCACTTTCTGACATCTGTTAGTTTTGAGAGAGAGAGAGAGAGAGAGAGATGTGAAGGGGGGATGTGAAATTTTTACGATGAATTAATGGTGTCAGAATAGGAAAGAATAAAGGAGGAAGAACAGGAGAGATTTAAGGATTTTTGCAGGGGATTTCAATGAGGGTGGATCTACTTCAGCAGCAAAACACGAAACTGAATCACCATGAATGGTTGAATCTTTGGGCATTTTGTGAAATGCATCTACGGTTTTGGAAGGCAATGGCATTGTTTTAGCAGCAATTTCGTGCTCAATTTGAACGAGTCTTTGCCTCAAAGCTTGGAGCTTTGATCTCTCACTTCATGAATCATGATAAGCTCGTTTCGGCCCTATGATCTCTCTTTGACCTATATTTACATTAAGTTTGTGCCAAGTGTCCCGTTGTACGAGTATAAATAGATACCCATTCATCCGATGAGAATATACATGTGATTGGACACAAGTCATATTGAATTTTGAATGGATGTGAAGGAGAAAGTGTAGGGGATATGGTGTAAAACTGTAAATGTATGGGAGTGCAAATAGGTTTGTGTTGGGTCAGTTTGGAATGTATATGTAGAATACAAAATCTTTTATTTTGTATGTATTTTTTGTACTTTTTCCAAAATGAGCCTTAATGTTAGCCACTTTTTTTCTTTTTTTAATCCTTTGTCAGTTTAATGTACCAGCTCATGAAATGGAAAACATGCTAGTAGCCAACTGTGGAAGCTTTTCTTTGTGCTGCTTGGGCCGTTTGGCTATCTTTTTAGGGTAAATTACATATAGGTACCCTGTACTTTGGGGGATAGTGACTAGTGACAAATGGGTATTTGGTACCCTGTATTTTGGGGTAGTGACTGAGTTCACATGTCCGCCCCACAGCACATCCTCACCGTGTATTGAGAACATCTTCTGATGATGACATCGTCGATTCTGGTACTATCATCGGGAGATGTTTTCAATACATGGCAGGGATGTGTTGTGGGGCGGAGATGTGAACTCGTAGTGACTAGTGATAGATGGGTATCTTGTACTTTCAATTGCAACACTTGATTACCCTGACCGAATACTAATGGATGGATAGTTATTATGTAACTTAATAACTTATTCAGTATTAATCATACCGTATAAGTTTAATCGATAGAAGGGTAGTTTTGGTATTGCATAATGTTTAATTGACGGAATACTAATGAATGAACCCAAGTGCCTATCTTTGAGAGTTCAAGGTACTTAAATATATCAATTGAAAGTTCAGGGTACCTATTTGTCACCAAGCCCAAAGTATAGGGTACCTATATGCAATTTATCCATCTTTTTATTTAAAGGGTCATTTACTAGAACACCCCTATTGTTTCATAGATTTACTTAAACCTATCATATATTTTGCATTTTACTAAAATACACCTTCTAGTTTGCACCTATTTACTTAATTGACCTTTCATCAAGAAATATTTATTTTGCCAACTGAAAATAGTAACGTGATCACTTAAACTAAGTGGAAAATGTTCAAGGGCATGGACCTATGGTTGTTTATTCCAAAAGTATCCCTAAGCTAAGTGGAAAATGTTCAAGGGTATGGATCTATGGTTGTTTATTCCAAAAGTACCCCTAACACTTTTTTTGTATAGAAAACAAAATTGACCAAATAGAGAAAATTAAAATAGAGTGATTGTCCATGTTTTACTAGGGGCAACAATGGCATTTTGTTTTAGTTCTTTTGATTAAATTTATTTGAATGGATATCGGGATTAAAGCTATCATTTTCCATTTTCATCTAATGGAAGTTTAATTAAGTAAATTAATTGGAAACTATAGGGGATGCTTTAGTAAAACACAAACTATAGGGTAGCTTTAGTAAAATCATGAAACTATAGGGGTGTTTTAGTAAATCACCCTTATTTAAACTTTGTATCTTTTGTCTTACGATTAAGTTATTTTGTTCGGGAAAAAAAAGTTTAAGTAGGGGTGCAAGTTGGGCAGGTTGGGCCAGGTTTATGGTCAACCTAGGCACGGCCATAAAATTTAGGCTTAAGGCCCGAGCTCGAGGCCAAGCCTGATTTTCCCAACCCGAGCCCAGCCCGCCTTGTAATTTGATGCACTTGGGTTGGGTTCACGCCTGGGCCGGGCTCAGGTTGGTCAATGAACCCACTCTAAAATATATATTCATATATTTATGTATGTATGTAAATATGTATGCAAAATATTTATATAAATATTATATGTATGTATATATATATATATGTAAATATGTATGCAATATTTACATATATACGCATATATATGTATAAATGTATATAACTAGGTCGGGCTTGGGCCGGGTTCAGGCTACCTAAGGGATAGGCCTGAGCCCAACTCGAAAAAAAAAATCCAACTTCTTAGGCCCGAGCCCAGTTCGAAGAACGAAAATTTAAGCCCAGTCTATATAAAATTCCAGATTAGACCGGTTCAGACTCGAACATGGCTCAGCCAAATTGCACCACTAAGTGTAAGGGTTTGTTTAATTAACGATTAGGATCAGAATTGGAATTAGAATCGAAATCCCCTGAAATCAAAATTAGAAATGCCTATTTTGTTAAGGGAAGGGCGATGAACACTGAAGCATTCCCTCAATGACCAAATTGCCAAGCGCTGCCCCAACCTTGGCAGTTTCAAACAAGACACTTTATTGTCCCTCGGCAACTCCAGGCCGCACCTCACGGAGTCACCAACCTGACCCAAAAATTGGATCATACCTCACCTTGTGATGTATTCATAAAAAGTAAATTGGATCATACATTTTACAGGCTCAACCTGACCCAAAAATTTTGGACTTGGGAGCTATATTTTGTTTTTAGGCTCGACTTGGGCTTGGGCCCAATACTTCAAGTTAAGACAGGTTGAAGCACATATTATTTTATATTTTATATATAAAACTAGCAGGGATCCGTGCAATGCACAAGAAAATTTGAAAGATTGAATAATTTTATTTATTATTAATTAATTGATAAATTAATATTCAAAATTTATTATTAATTAACTAAAAATATTCAAATTTATTATTAATATTTAAAATTTTAATAATTACCTTTTTCATTTAATGTTGATTTACAAAGAATAATTATTTTTAATTATATTTAATATGAATAAATATTTGTTAATAAATTTAACTTTATTAATCATTTGTAGTAATTTTAATAATTGTTATTATTTTCATTAGTTTTAAATGAAACTTTGATTGACTTTAAATAAATAAAAATAATTACAAAAGCTAACATTTTTATTAATTTCACTAATAATTAACAATTATATAGGAATGGCAATGGGGCGGGTCACCACATCCCTGTCCCTACCCCATCCCTAATGTCTGGAAGGTTCAGGGCAAGGCACCCACTCATCAAGGATAGGAAATCCTTAAATTTTCCGTAACTCGTCCCTAGTGTTAGGTGGATTCAAGGCAAGGCACCCACTCCTTATCAACCCAATATTCAATTTGATGACAAAAATGATCAAAAGGAGATACTGATTATCAGCCACATGGTAAATTTCTAGAAGTATACTAAATTGTCTTTAATTTTAAAAAATGTAATTTTATGAAAATTTTGGAAAATTTGTTATATTTTTTGTAATTTTGAAAATTTATTCAAATTTATTTTTTAAATGGTTTACTTACAGAATTACACTAATTTATCTTATACTTTCTAATATAAACTAATCAATAATTTCTTCTTTCCAATATTATACTAATTTATCTTAATAATTTGTGTAGTTATTGGTTCAAATTATAGTTTTCCCTTTCCCATACTCATTTATCTTTAACAAGTTTCAATAATTTACAATGAAAACTATAAAATTTTTCAATAGTATTCCAAAATCTATCAAATGTAATAAATTTTCAAAATATTCCAATAATTTTTAATAATTATTTAATACATTTTAAATAAACTTTCTAGCGGGGCCAACAGGGCACCCCTCCTTGTTCCACACCCCCGTAGTCAAGACACTCTACCCCATCCCGGTGGCGGGGTGGGTTCCGGGCATGACACCCATTCCCCATCAGGGTTTGAAATTCCCCAAATTTTCCCCACATTGAGGCAACCAACTAAAAATAATCTAATTTGTGGATATTTTACAAATAGGATTATGGGAAATTAGGGGCATTTTAGGAATTGGATTGTGACAACTTTGGGGTATTTTATAAATGGAATTATGGGATCCTAGTATTATAAGAATATGAGGAAAACTTAGAGATATTTTAAAAATCAATATGAAGTCTACGAATATTTTACTAACTTGCCATTAGGTTCGGGGAATTATGGGGTAGTAAAATTTCCATCCCTACAATTATAATAATTTTCTATAACTAATTAACTAACAGTAAACTAAATAACAATAAATCACAATATTCTATGATAATTTCCAAAAATTATTGAAATTGCTTTTGATTAGCGGTAATGTATAGTAAATTAATTATTTACATTAACAATTAATTAACGCGAATTAACATAAATTATTTACTTTTTAAGCCTACATTATTTACAACTAATAATTTTCATAAATTATTTAATAATTATTTATTGAAATGATAATAATGGATTGTTACTTAAATAATTATGAAACAATTTCTGATATATCAATTTCCTAATTTAATTTTCCTAAATTTTTAGCAATTATTGTTGGAGATATCTACTGCACTTGGCGCATGACTCCTGGAGTATTTAAGTTGGTTTTGGATTACTCTTACTTATTTGTATAGCTATAACACGAATTCGGATCTGCCCACAACACCCCTTGTAGTTATCTTGTTATCTGTCATACCTATCTCTTGATACAAGTGTAAAATTCTTGGACTCTCTAATTATAAATATATTGAGTTCAGGTGAGCCTCATCATCCTGAATAGACATGTTATCCAATTCTACTCTCTCTTTCTCTGTTATTCTCTGTTATTTTCTTATCTTGACATCAGAGTCAAATTTATCATGGCAACTGAGTATATGTTTGGCATCGATGCTGCAAATACAATACCGTTTTATCATTTGTGGGTTGGAAGCACTGCTTTCTGAGAAAATGGTTTATTTTTTATTTTTTTTGGTTTAGAATATTGCTGCCAGGTAGGACATTTTCTGGAGCAACAGCAATACCTTTTGTTTGGTACCAGTGCTCCATATATATTTGTTTTCAGCACTGGTACCCATTATAGGAAGTCTATGTCACTGCCACATCATGTCTATGTTAGCAGCAACAAGCTCCAACCTGAGAAAATGTCGAATTTGACATCGCTTCAAACCACGTCTTCTTGATTTTCAAGGCATGACTTAGAGCATTGTTTTTTTATGAAAAAACAGTTGCAAACATATTGATGTTT